CTGAAGACACTATACAGGCCTTTGGGAATGTCCAGTTCCTCCATTAAAGTTCTGACCAAGTCCAGAAAAATACAACACTTCCAGGCTTCTGCTCAGCCCTGTTGTGACAGCCATGGGCCAAGGGAGAAGGGATGCCTGCATCTCACCTCCTGCATCTCACCTCCTGTATCCCTACCTCCCCCATCCATGTGTCTCCCTACTGCCTCCTCACAGGGAATCCTAAGATACCATGCCAGAGTTCTTTGACAGACGTGACACATACCTGATAAAAATTTAGAGAAATTTGTTCCCCATTGGTTGACTTCCAAATTTGAGGAGCTAAACCTATAAACAGAAAAGTAGGTAATTATAATGGAGTTAATAAGTGTGCAGGTATAATACAGACACACACACACACAGCTCCTCAGACAGATATGAAAAAAATCAGAGAAGGGTGTGATTTTTGTTTCCATTTCATTTTATTTCTCACCTACATTAGTTTTCTAGACATTTGAAATAATAAACCAGCCAGATGAAGATTTTAAGCTGCCCCCTGTTAGACGCTTGAAAGCCAGATTAATTAGTGTCATTGTCCTGTGACACTTTTCATCCCATCCAGTCGCCTGGTCATCTAGTGGGATCCCCCCCTTCCCGGTTTCCCTGCCCAGCAGCCCACAGACCTCACCTGCTGGGTGATGCTCAGACTGCAGTTAGGGACCGATGTTGGCTAACATGGGTGCAAAACTACGGATTGCCACCGTGTCATGCCTTCTCTTGGTACTTGCAGGAGGACTTTGCCACCCTCAGACTTCCCTTCCTCTGGTGTCGGGTTTCCTTTAGGGGGTGATCCTGAGCGCTCACTAGTTACCATATGGAGTGGGGTTTCATGATGTGGTCCAGGTAGCAGTCCTGAAAATGTTTCAATCTGTACTTTAAAGGAAAAGGGAAAAGACGAAACTGTATAAGTAAATTTGCTGAAATCAGTCATTTCTATACCAAAAACTTTTGTTTTTTTAAAATAAGGATGTTTTGTAGACAGTGTAGAACACATTCATTTTAAGAGATATCAAGTAAAATAAGTTTTTAAGGCATCACATATGAACCAGTTTCCCTGGGGCCGAGTGGCGCCTGGCATCTCGGGAGCCAGCAGCCAGTCGGCTCATTGCTAACAAGCAGCCGGGGTTGAGGATGGGGACAGGCGGGTGGGGGGGCTGCCCTGGGACGGGGCCGCCAGCTTACTGGGGGACAAACCAGGATCAGAACCCAAGTGTTTGCACAGAAATGCAACAGGATGCCGAGTATTTTCCTTGGACTCCACAGATAAATCAGCTAAGCATCTTGAACACAAGCTGGCCGTTTTGTTTTGCCTCAGATTTGTAAATAAATGGTTGCAGTCATTCTGCTTCTAGCTTTGAAAAGGACAGTCTGGTTTCCCCTCTCTACAAATGTTTCTTTAACTGGCTGTCAGTTCTCCATGGAAGTTCCTGGCACGAGGCCGTCCCTGCCCTGTGTCTCCCCTGACCCAAGCCTTCTGAGCTCTACTCCACTCCCGCAGGGAACAAGCTTGTGGGTGGACACAAATAAACAGTGACTAGGTGTCCTGTCACGGAGCCTGCAGGCTGTGGTTTCAAGGACACAAGATTTATGGGTGCTTCTGGCCGCATGGAGGCCGTGCAGGCGGAAGGGGAGGTGAGCTGCTGGGAGGAGGTCGGAGGTCCCTGGGCGCTTGATGTCCCCTCGATGAGCTGAGCCCAGGACACGGGAGGCTGCGTGGCCACAAGCACGGTCTGCGGGCAGGACCCAGATCTCCGCGGTGGTCACCGTGGCCCGAGGGAGCGACTGTGGAGGAGCTGAGAGCGCTGCTCTGTGCTTTGCAGTGAGCCCGGCGGTTTGGGGGGTGCGTCCCTTTCACTGCCAGCCCCGTCGTTCCTTTTCGAGGCCTGGTCCATTTCACGGTGGTGAAATTTGGATTTCATGGTGCTTATGTCATTTCTCATATAATGAAAATTCACTTCTTAATAATGTGCTAAGTTTTCATTCTGATTTCTTCTCACTTTACGAACACTGTACTGGGATGAGCATGCCTGGGGCTCTCGTGTCCCCCTGAGGAAGCATCCTCTCAGGATATTTGAGTAAAGGCACGTGAGCTGAAGTACAGATAGCGAGTGAAGGCCGAGGCCCTTTCACCTCTCTGTCCTCAGTCTGGTCAGCCGTCGACCCCGCCCGACCCTGGACACGCAGGGGCTGTCTCCCCGGAGTGCGCGTCGCTGTGGGTGCTGCCCCATCCCTGTGTATCCACGCATTTATTTGGAAATGGCGCTGCTGTTGCTATTTCATGAGTGGTTGTCCTGAGAATCAGGAGCCACACTGCTCACCGTGTGAGGTCACCCTCCATCTCTGTCTCCCCGTCAAGCCAGGTGAGGACCTCGGCCCCGAGAACCGGGATCTGACGGGTCTGGGAAGATTGCTCACCCCCGGACCCCAGACCTCCGCCTGGGTCCCAACAAGTGTTCACTCCGAGCAGGCTTTCCCATCAGCAAGTCGACTTCGTGTGTGCACAAAGCACGGGGCGGAAATCACCTGGAGGCTGGTCTCAGGATGCAGCAGCTCTGCCTCTCTGAGCCTAAACCGTTTTTCCCTTTCCTTTACTTAAGTGAAGTTCAGTGTCTTTGCAAATAAATATGAGAAGTATTCTTTGTTGGACTAAAGTAGCTCTCAACTGCAAAATATGATCCTTAGCAGAAAGATCCGTGCGCTTCGCCGTCTGTAATTTATACCACGTTAGAAACATGCTATAGCAGGATTGATTTAATATTTCTTGGCTTAGAAGTCGATTAAATTTAACTGCTTGTTGTGTTAAAGCCTTCTAAAGCTTTTAGGTGCTGTTAGTCTTGTGTTTCCTGATGCATATACATCACTTTCTAATTAAAAATCTTGTGTTGCTTTACCTCCTTTGGGGGGATATGATAAAGTTAACAGCAAAAATATAACCGGGGTGCGTCCCCACTGAAGTCATACTCACCGCACAGAGCACAAGCATAATGCTTTCTTACAGCTGTTCAGCCCTGAGCAGTTTCTCATCAGCTCGGCCTTTTCCCAGACACCTGCGTGTTTCCTACCTGCACCACAGCCCTCCCAGGGTATCTTGACGCCAGCCGGGGTGTGGTCCTTCACGGGGGCAGCTGGGACCGGGGCGGGTTATGCACACCCCCTGACACATCCCTGCCTGCCTGCCTGCTGTTCTCTGTTCCTCTTGGTGGTCAGGCGAGCTGCTCTCAGAAGCATTCATTACTGTGACAAAGGGCAAAGGGCGCTGCCCTGTCTCAGAGCTGGCGCTGACAGGGCTGCAGGAAGTCCCCGAGGTCCCCAATGCTCCCAGACACGCCTGCAGCCTCAAGTCTGCCATTGCCTCCCCAGGGAATAGTTAATGAGATAATTATTTTTTTCTTGAAAAGTAACATTCTTGCAGTGGTCCTGGGGGTTTCCCTATAGATTATAATCTACCTTTCCAGTTGCGTTCAAAGGGAAAAGGGGAATAACACAGCTCTATTTTCGCCCTTCCCCGACCCTTAGGGATTTCGCATCTGTTTTCTGATATGTGTATTTAACGAAGTGGAAACTGGTGTAAGTGGATTCCTGCTCTAGGCAATTAACATGTGCTTGAATAATAATAACAAAAACTTGTGTCAAAAGGAAATTTATGAAACCCAGAGTTCTCTAACTGTATAAACACGTTGGTCTTTGAATGACTTGGCCGTCGTAACACAGCGCCACCATCCGATCCGCGTGGAATGTTCCTCCTGCCTCCCAGACTCCAGGAAGACATGTCAAGCTGCATCTCTTTATCCCGAAACGGCGAGGAGGGTGGAGGGGAGTTTAGGGACAGTTAACTTGTAGGTAAAGTATCCTGTAGAATGTTAAGCTTCCAGTAAACTCAATTACAGAATTACTCGAAGGCCCTCCACTGCCTTCGGACTCAGGCTCCCTTGACAGGACTCTGGGGCCGTGTCTTCTCCAGCCATGTGAGCTTGGGGTGTTTCCCAGCATCCGGGGCCTCCTACGTAATGTGGGGCAGTGATGCTACCTACTGGGATTGCAGCTTTGGGACCAATGAGATGATAATGCCTGGGAATCTCTTAGTCTCACATAGTAATAATTCAATAAATAGAGATTGTAATTCACAGAAACTGTTTTAAAATCAACATATATGGATTGCAGCGTGCTTACAAGTGTCCAAATGAGCTCACTGATACAGGGCGCCCGACACACTGATTTTTAAAAAATTTTTATTTTATATTGGAGTCTAGTTGATTTACAATGTTGTGTTAGTTTCAGGTGTGCAGCAGAGTGATTCAGTTATACATGTACATGTATCTATTCTTTTTCAGATTCTTTTCTCATATAGGTTATTACAGAATATTGAGTGGAGCTCCCTGTGCTCTACAGCAGATCCTTGTTGATTATCTATTTTATATGTATCAGTGTGTATGTGTTAATCCCAAACTCTTAATTTATTCCCCCTGCCCCACCTTTCCCCTTTGGTAATCCTAAGTCTGTTCTCTATGTCTATGAGTCTGTCCCTGTTTCATAGATGAGTTCATTTGTGTCATATTTTAGAGTCCACATATAAGTGCTATCACTGATGGTATTTGTCTTTCTCTGACTCACTTCACTTAGCATGGTCGTCTCTGGGTCCATCCGTGTTGCTGCAGATGGCATGATTTCATTCTTCTTTATGGCCGAGTATATTCATTGTATATACGCACCACATCTTCTTTATCCATTCGTCTGTCAGCGGACATCTAGGTTGCTTCCATGTCCCGGCTATTGTAAAAGTGCTGCAGTGAACATTGGGGTGCATGTCTCTTTTTGAATTATGTTTTTCTCAGGGTATATGCTCAGGAGCAACACACTGATTTCTGAATCCTACATAAGCCTTTCTTCCCATTACAGAGAAAAATCTGTTGTACTCTTTGAGTTCTGGGAGATATGAAAAGATGTCCGTACTTGATTTTTTTCAGGCTGCCCTGGTGCCAAAAAGAACGAGTTTCTGACGAGTGTGCTGGACGCGCTGTCCACAGACATGGTTCACACTGTCTCCGACCCCTCCTCCCCGGGCAGGTGCGTGCGCTCGACTGCAGAGCAGGAGGCTGGGAAGAAGCCCGGCATTCAGGGAACTCTCAGAAGCTGGAGGGCAGAGCCCAGACGCTGGCATCTGAGGCCTGAGCAGCTTAGCGGACACGGCAGGGCCTGCAGGAAAGAAGTCCCCTCCTCAAACCTGAGGTCACTGCCTTTGTCTGGAGGACATTTGTCAGCAGGTTCTCTTGTAATGCGATCAACCCAGGGAGGATGTTGCCATCAGGGACAAGGCCCAGACCTTGGGATTTTCCCAGGTTCCATCGGGCAGGGGCGGGGGCGGGGGCGGGGGGAGGGGAGGGGATGGGAGGACCCTGGTCCAGAGGGCTTCCCGCTTTGGAAAATCACATTTTAGAGCTATTGACTGGATTTTAAATACTTTGAATTAAAATGTTCAAATTAAAATTCTCAAAATAGGATTTCTTTACAGTAAAATATATATGACATAAAATTTACCATCACAACCATTTTCAAGGCTGCAATTCAGTGGCATTAATTACATTAACAAAATGTTCAAAATCTGACTTCTGAAACTCTGGAAACTTGCTCAGTGTGCCTGGTGGAAATTCTGCAGTTCTGGGGCTGAGGCTTTGAGCTTTGCTTCCGGAGAGACTGTTAATTCCCCGAAGCCGTTCGTCTCTGTGGGTGACGTCCCTAGGAGGGTAGTTTGCAGTGTTTAATGGATATAGTGTTTCAAGCGCTGGATCTCCCCTGTTAATTAGTAATAATTAATCTCTCTATTTTAAAGCACATTTTCTGATTGGGAATCTCACTGTCTTTATTTCCTTAGACACTGGCCTTCTTCCCTGCCTGCCCCAAACCTTGATTATTTCACCTATTCTAGATGATCTAAAGCTTCCTGGTCTTCTTCAGCTCAAAGCCCGCCTCTCTCTGTCTGTGTTTAAGAGTAAGATTGCAGAAGAAAAAAAGGCAGTGCTAAATTAAATGATGAAGCAAAAAAAAAAAAAAAAATCACCCAATTTTCAAATTGACCTCTTATATTCTTGGAAAGATAGATCTTCTCTGTAAAGCTAAAACTGAAAGCAGTAAATGAATTTCCATCCTAGAAGGTCCTCTGAAAGTTTGGGAAATAACTAATAGCATCAGAAAGCCCTAATACCTGGGAACTTTTGGTGTCTGACTCACTCTTTACGCCCATGGAAACGCAGAGGCCAACAGCCAGACAAGGAAGGAAGGACCAGGGACTAGGTGAGCACCTGCTGCACCGTCCACGTGGTGAGAAGGCCCAGTGTAACATCTGGGATGGCTCCAAGATCAGCCTCAAAGCCAGGCCTTCTAGAAGAGTTTTTTACTTATATCTTAAAGCATCAACCTTTTGTTTTTTTTAATCCAGGGAAAGATGTCTGGTTACCACTTTAAGATATATGTTGTTTTGCACCTTTTAGTTTATCCGTGGCATAAACAACCTGCCCACGAGTCACGATTAAAGGAGCAGAGATCCTCTGGGTCCCAGGTTGAGTAGGTGTGCGATGTGTGAGCCGATGGGCCATCCCCACGGGGCTTTGTCCGCGTGACTTGCCAACGCCCAGCGGGTGATTGGCCTGCACAAGTTCACTGTGCCATTTGCCATTTTGAAACCAACTTGAAAATTTTTTGCCAAATTTCTATTTCTAAGTTATTTTTAAAAATCATTATATCAAATGGCAAAGCCACGCAGCCTCAGGCCCTCCTTCCAGGAAAGTCAGAGCACGGGGGCCCTCGCTGGAGGGACCAGGGCCGGGGTGGGGAGGCAGCCGGGCTGCCGGGGGCCCCTGACCACCCGTGTGTCTTCCAGGCTCTCGGAACCTGACCCCAGCCACACGCTGGAGGAGAGAGTGGTCCACTGGTATTTCAAACTGCTGGATAAAAACTCCAGTGGGGACATCGGCAAAAAGGAAATCAAGCCCTTCAAGAGATTCCTTCGGAAGAAGTCCAAACCCAAAAAATGCGTGAAGAAGTTTGTTGAATACTGTGATGTGAATAACGACAAGTCCATTTCCCTGCAAGAGTTGATGGGCTGCCTGGGCGTGACCAGAGAAGAAGGTGAAACTAACACGAGGAAACGGCACAGTAAGAGCCTTTCTCATTATTTTGCTCCCATGCGTGCCCACTCTCGACGGCGTCTGTTCAGTCTTAAGATGTAGAGACTGTCCTTGCGGTCTGAGGGTGGAGGGAAGTCTGATGTGCCATATGACTGTAGGTCACCGTCCGTGGAAGCACTCACAGACCGTCGTAAGCGGTCAAGGGGAAGCCGGGTTGGAAGGGTGGGAGCTGAGTGGTGTCTAGAGACAAGTCTCACTGTTCCGTCCAGGGGGCGCGGGATAGGGGGTGCCCTTCTCCAGGGGCGCCTTCTGATGCTGAACAGCAAACTGGGCACCCTTGGGAGTAACTCGGGAACTCCACGCATGAGCCCGACCAAACATTCAGCCCGGTTTATTAGCAATTCAATAATTCCTGTTTCCAAACCAGTTATTTCAATGGTGGAAACAGTGTTTCAGCTGCGTTACCAGATGTGTGTATCTCTTCCCTGAACCCAAACGCTGTCAGCAGCCCAGGGGCCGTGTGCGGACTTGATGGTTTGCAGAGACCTCTCCCATCTCTGCTAATTTATGATTCTGTTATTCTGTTACCAAACTTGTAGCATATTTGAAACATGAAACAAGTTTGAGAGTAGATTCTGGAGCATCGGTAGATGGTGGTCATTACACTTCCTTGTAGTTGCAGCTCAGCTGGGACGTGGAAGTCCTGGCCGCTGACCTCGACTGTGGGCTTCGGGAAAGGACTGCATCTGTCTTGTCAGTTTCTGTGTCCCGAGCACTCGTCATAATAGTCATTCTGCATGATTCAGCCGAACTTGGTTCCAGGCTAGATCCCTGTAATTGTGAAAGGACTCTTGCTAATTTTCCTGTGAGAAGTTACTCCTGGAAGAGTTGAGTTTTATTTTGAAGACCTCTGTATGGGGTCTCGGAAGCTAAGTGCACTTCATGTTGCCCCGAACATGTCCAGACTGCAAACAGTGGTAAAAATACGCGGCCGCCCACTTTGCTGGCCTTGTGGGGCGATGGTGACATTTCCCGGCAGGATGTGGGTCCTTGCTGCCCTCTGATGGGGGTCAGGCTCAGAAGGCTCTGGTCGTGGAAACATTCACCACGCTGCTCTGTGTCTGCAGGCGGGGTGGGAGGGGGGGCGAGCTGGCCCGTCAGGGGGTGACTGGCCCCCATCACCATCCTGCCTCACGGTCCCCGTGGCTCCTTCTTTTCTCCCAGCCAGGCCGGGGATGGGGGTGAGGCTGCCCTCATTCTCACTTGCAGATGAGAAACCCAAGAGCGCCGTGCGGCTTCCAAGCCCTACAGCCACCCAAGGCGTGCGGCGGGTCCACCCTGAACAGCGGCCCAAGCGCACGGGTCCGCCTGCAGGAAACCGGCACCTGCTGGGCTGCAGCTTCTGTCGGGGTTTCCTCAACCCCGCGCAGCCCTGCCCTGCAGCCCCCGGGGGGGCCTTGGACGTTTCCAGTCCAGGCAGTCGCCCCCACCCTTGCTCTCCTTTGTTGGGGCTTAGGGTCGCTGCCTGCCTCTGTCTGACACTGCCTGTGATTCTTGGACCTGGACAGACGTTCTCACTCACCCTATGATTTTTTTTTCGATTTTGGTCCCCCATAGGGCCCCAAGAGACAAGTGACCTATTGCAGTTTTAGGCAGAAATCCTGGCACCCAGGCGTCTCGGAGGCCCAGGGAATCACCATGGGAGCCAGCGGGGAGCCAGTGGCCGGCTAGCTGGAGGCCGGGGGACTGTAGCTCCCCCCGCCCTGGGGCTCTGATGATTGCCGGGGAGGGGGATGAACGCTGACCCAGCAACTCGTTTCAGCTGTTGCCAGGTTGGCTTGGGGCCGCGGTGGCCCTTCCTCCGTTCCAGAACCCAGCCTTGAACTTCTGAAAGAGTCTAGTTTTGTGGTTTCAATGAGCAAATTAAGTGCAGGCTCAACAGTGTGTAGAATCTGTCCTTTTAATCTTTAATCATCACCCCTTTCTGAAGGGCCCAGGCCAGTCCATTGTTTGCAAAGACCCCCCTCTTGATGAGCACCCAGACCCCTGAGCCTCGTCCGCGTGCCTGAGGGACGTCCCTCTCCAGGGGCATGGTCCTTTCTGCATGTTTCCTAAATACAAAGGAAGTCAGCAAATGGAGATGCTTGGCAGGGAGAGTGGGCGGGGGTGGGGTGGGGGGTGGTGGTGGAGGCCCAGTGCACAGCGGCTTTGCCAGGAGCATAATTGGCCTCAGAGCGGCGGCGAGTGTGAGGCATTTTGAGATGGAACAGTATCCCTCCAGTAGTTTCAAGATGAATTCTGAGCAGCGGAGAAATTACTCTCCTGGATACCACCGCCTGACCCAGCCCTTTGGTTCTACAGAGAAGGCCACGCTCTCCACCCGCCCCCACTCTTCGTGGCTCAGTCCACAGTGTGGATGGGTCATTTCCAGAAGCGTTAACCACGAGTGGGTGTGTTGTTTAAACACCAGCACTTGGTGTGAATTGGTGCCACGTAGCCTGTGTTGAGCCCACGGGTTCCGGGGCATCGGGAACCACTGCGCTCGCGGGTGAGTCCTGAGCTTCTGCAGAAGGCACAGGTCGTGCTGAGAAGGGTGTGCAAATCCCAGCCCTCGGTCAGGTGCAGGACTTCTGACGTTGTGGCTAACGAAGTGCTCAGTTCTCTTAGTCATTCATTCGCTCAACACAAACGTCGAGGATCTGCCGTGAATCACGGGGCGGAGGTGGGAGTTGAGTCTCAGAAGCTCCGCAGTTTGTAGGGAAGATAGAAAAGCCCTAGAACGGCCCGCGCGTAAGGCGTGGGTGTAAGCAGGCTGCTGGCCGGGCCCTGAGGAGGCGGCTCCCAGCTCGAGGACTCGGGAAAGCATCACTGGGACAAAAGGATGGACGGGACGGCCCAGCCCCTGTGCCAAGCACTGGGACACTGGTGCCTCCCCTGGAGCATCTCCGATGCAAAGCCTCAACACTGCCCGGTCAGAGCCCAAGGCATGAGGGGTAACTGCGTGACACCCGAGGACAGCCTCGTCCGAGAGCCCAGGGACCATGAGAAGGGGCTCCTGGTCAGGTGTCTGCCAGCCAAGGGTGCCCTCGCGGGAGAAACGGGATCGGAAGCTGGTCTTCCTGGAAACGCTGAAGGTCGGTCGGTCTTGCCGTGCTCTGGGGACACCACGGCAGCTCTCACCCCGCACGCTGAGGCCTCAGGAAGGTGACGTGAATCCAGCACCTTCAGAGTCACGATCCTGGACACCTACACTTGGTTGTAAACAAAACTGTCTCAAAACCCCAGCTCCCTGTCAGCACCAGCGTTGGACCTCTGAGTTGGCTCAAGGGCCTTAGCCGATCACATGCCCTGTTGTTTTATAATCTGGTTAAATAATGGAAAACTTGAGGTGTGGCCAGTCCAACAGATCAGGAGCCAGTGCTTTGGAGAAGATGGTGCCCACAGAGGCAGTGCACTCCCCCGGCCCCGGCTGCTCTCGGGCTGCAGGATGCTGCCCTCTGCCCCTGGGTGGGGGGCGGAGCGGGGGCGTCTCCACACCTCTCCTCGGGGCCGGGGCTGCGTTCTCACAGAGGACAGAACGCACAAGGGGAACAGAGAACAGGTTCGCAGGCAGAGCGGATGTGCAGAAGGGGTGCAGGCCACGTCCTCTTGCCGAGAGGGGTCCAGGGTCTCCGCACAGCCCTACAAGGGGACACGGAGAGGGTGGGTGTGTAACCCTGCTATCAGGGGAGCGAATAACAGAGCATAACACCTTGATGTCATCATCATTTAGTAGAAATGTTTAAATTACTGCCGAATCTTGAGTTATCAGTTATCTTCTTTATGTGCCTCTGAATAAACCGATGTGTCTGAATTTTGTTGTCTCAGTAACCAGGAAGATAGCACGTGTCATCCCCTCTCTTCCCCCAGAGAAGCTAAATTTGGTAAAAGTGGCAATTTGGTAAAAAATGAGCATTGGGAATTTAGATACATTATTAGCTGATCTTGCAACCCTTTTTTTTTTATCTTGCAGAATTTCTCTAAGAGTTTTTCAACTTTATTATCATTTATCTTTTACTACCCTGTGTAATTTGAAATAGTGAAAAGTCAGAAAAACCTAAGTATTCAGGAAGGGGTTAGTTGGGACAGTCTAAGTATCCAAGTGGCTACCAGTTTCTTTTGTTTTCTTTATTTTTGCTCACTAGTTAACAATACATCTTTTATTCTAAAAAATATGAGAAATTAAATAAAGAAAATAAATAACACATGACCTTTTATTCTGAGACAAAATCAGACCAGATCTATAGCTTTCCAAAAAATATTTCTATGCACATATACATATCTATTTATGTACTGTGATTTTCACTACAAAATGGTGTCATAATGTACATACTTCATTAATCACACCTGTTTTAAGCAAGTACACAAGAGTTTGCATTTAAATTTTTGCAACTAAGACATGTTATTGGGAGCTTGATCTCAATTTCCACCATTACAAAAAATGCAAAAATGCAAAAAAACCTTAAAAACTATTGAGAACTGATAGAGCCTAGAAAAAAAAATTTCTGAAGAATTCAGAAAAAAAGTTCACAAAAGATGATACCATGCCCTCATGATTCTCCAAAATGACCATTGTGCAGAAAATCAGCAATTAGGAAATATTCACTTTTGACCAAATTATCTTTTTCAGCCGGACTGCCATGCCAGCTACATTCTCTCAGACATATTGCCTTACAGCCAAATTGCCGTTTGCCGTGTCACCTGGAAACAATCACTACCATTCGATACCGAGGAAGCCACCCTTCCCGCCACGCACACACATCCATCGCTGAGCTCTGTGGTAGGAGCTGGGAAATACATACTCATTTTCTCACCGAAAAGTGTCTTTATTGATGTGGCATGGCTTCGTATTTATCTCGATGATGTACATTCCGTTTCATTCAAATTAATTAACAGTTTATTATTTTTCTGCCCTTCACGTATTTTAAATGGAGCTTTTCCCTACTCCTTCTTGAGTGGAATATTCCATCCAGTGTCGTTAATGAAACTTATACTCTTTTCAGCTACACAGCGAAGCTCTAAACACCAAAAAACGTTAGCTTTTCTTGCTGCAACCTAACTTGAATCTGTAGCTACCTCCAGTGACCGGTAGTCTGATGTTTGCCACAAAAGAAACCAAGAAAAATCTGGGAATTGTTGACAGTGCAATTGGTTTAGATTAGATTCAAAGTATCAGTTTAAAATTCTTTAAATTTGAACCAATGGCGCGAAAGCCTACTTCCTCTGTAAAGTAGTCATTTCAGGCAAAGCAAAGTGGAGAGTGGCAACAGAAATTATCCCGATCCTTGGATCATTCAAACTACAATGGAAAGAGATAGTCCATTTAGCTACCGTTTATTTAATATTTTTGCAATTTACTTAATATGTTTGTGTTTCAAATTTTCATGCTCTATTTCTGTTTGCTTGAATATAGCAAGAGAAGAAGTTTGAACACAGAATAATTTTGCTCTTTATTTTTTTAATTGAATGGATAGACGTCAACAATTAAGGCATTTGGGATGAGGGATGCTGCCCTCCGTCTACTGATTCATTTGAAAGATATTTACAGGTGCTCCCTGCTCCTCTAAACATTGGCAGAACCACAGTAAATAAAACAGACAAGAGTTCACATCTTTCTAGAGCTTACATTTTAGTGTGGATGCAAGAAATGAGATAAATGAGAAAAACGCACTGTGTGATGGGTGATGCTAGCTAAGTTGGTGATGGGGGGAGGGGAGGGGGAAGGCTGAATTTCAGGTGGAGATTTGGGGCAGGAAAAGTGCCTCCACAGGTGATGTCCCAGGTCCCAGTCTTGAAGGAGGCACAGACGGAACCAAGCAGGATTTGGGAACAGTTATTTTGATCCAAACAAGTTAAATGATTCTCGTGATTTAACCATAAAACCAAAAGATTTCAAAGACCCGGTGCTGGTTCCTAGACTTCCAGCTGCCTGGGTCCTCTCTCCCTGGGAGAGTTTGAAAACTCGGGAAAGGAGGTCTCCACGGCTAGTGGACACGCCTTTGGAGTTTTGGGTAAAATGGAACAGTCTTCTAAAGTTGGGTCAGAGCATTTGTATTGTTGGGAATTGTTTACATCGTGACTTTTATGATCCACTATTTATAATCTGTGCTCAGCGTATGTGCAGATGCATATTTTCTCATGTAAACAAGTCTGCCAGTGGACGACACTTTCCTACAGTGATATGGGTTTCTTCCTGAAACATTCTATTTGACCTTTTACTAAATAAAGAATATTTGGTTTTTAATCTTTCTTTTTTTTTCCCTGTTAGCCCCCAGAGGTAATGCTGAAAGCACTTCTAATAGGCAGGTGAGTATGTCTACATTGTAGCCTTAATCATTTACTGTTTTACTTATAGGCAATAAAAGTTGAGGTTCTGTCAACTTGTAAAGTGAAGTTCCTTCCAAGAAAAGAAGCAACTTATCGTGTCTGCACCCCTGTGAGGCCCCAAATAGCCATGCAAGATTCTGTCAGAAATTACCAACTTGCTGAAACACCAGCATCAACGTTTTGCCCTAATTATTATTTTCTTGCCACTTGAAATTTCAATTATTTTATTATTTTTAGAAAAATTTCTGAGTCCCCTTATTTTTGGAAATATTTATTTTTAAATAGTTCTGCAGGATGTGGATTTGTAATTTATTCCTTACGTTTGGTTAAGGAGATTGCAGGAAGGGGGAGTCTTCTTTTTTCATCTAGGGATCCGAGTGAGACAAGTGGCAGCTCCAGAAGGGATTTTTCACTTCCTGCCGTGTGTGCTCATAAACATACTTCTATGCTTCTGAATCTGTATTTCTGCCTGTGCAATTAAAGGAGATAATTGTGGTGTCTCTCCCCAGCATCCCAGGCCACAAGCTCTCCAAAGTCTAGAATATTTTCCAGAAGATGAACGCGAGCGATTCATTTCTCCCTCTCTCAAAGCCTGGGCCACATCCTCCTTTCTTAAGACCACTTGTCAATTTGTTATGTATTTTGTCTTCACCTGCTTGATTCCAGGTCTCTGGTCCCTAAGGCAGGCCCCCGTATTTGTGGTGGGCTTGAAGTGGAGACCTTCCACGTGCACCTTGGATGCAATTTAAAACCATTTCATTAGGAAAGATGTGTGATACGGTCGGTCTTCTTTGTTTAGCAAGTGTTTATGGTTTCAACTTTTAAAATCCCACTGCAAATCACTTGTGCTTTAGAACAGGGCTGGTCTGAAAGCAATGACCTGGGCTGAGCTCTGAAGACTTCCAAATGGTTGTTTTCCTAAAATAACGCCAATGACGGGCACATGGGTGCTGCCTCAGCCTGAAATAAACTCTGTTCCAAACACAAGACTCACTCAGCTTTTTCCCAGAAAAGGAATCCAGAGCGGTTTCCCCAGCCCTTTTGATGGTGTTTATCACTGCAAACTGTGGTCCTGGGATGATGTCCTGCAGTGGCCGGCACATGATAAAGTGATTGAAGACCATACAGATTTCTTTGAAGAATCAGAGTCCCAACCACCAAAATCGTTCACTATATGAATAACCAAACCCAAGAACTATGAAATGAAGGGCAGCAAGTAGGATGCATGAAGCTTATATTTAATCGAAAAGTGAGCTGTCTTTCTTGGTATCTTCTCCAGTTTCCATCACAGCTCAGCAGTGATCAGAGCAGTGCTATCAGCCACTGCTGACGTAGCTTAAAACGTTAGTGCCACCCCTCCTCCCGCAAATCTGACCAGCTTTAGTTGCTGGTAAAATACACTGATGGCTTATCTTTATCCTCAGCTAATTAAAACAAAACTTCTTATTCACTTAATGCAGGAGATATAGTCCCTCTTGTCCCCTGTTCATATATTTATCTGGGGAATAAAAGCCAACACAGAAGCCTCCTGAATGTTCAAGTGTAATTATTTCAAATAGACCAACTTGTACTGGTGGGAATGGGTCTACGTGGAGAAATAAACCTGGAAGATTGTACTTTGCTTCTCCTTTTCATTCTATTTTATTTTTAATTGGCGCAGTGCAGAATTCCAGTAATTTAGTAAACAAAACTTTTCAAGTTGTATTTCTTAGAGAGGTCAAATAGTGAATGGAAAGGATGAAAAGAAAACTATTAAAAAAAACATGCCTTTATCAAATTTGAAGCATAAATTAGTATTAAAAGTATTTTTATATGATAAATCCATGGTGATTGGAGATTCTGCACAATGTTTAATATACTGAACACACTTACAATCCTTGAAATAAATGCTTTCTCAACTGATATATTTTTCCTGATATTTCTGAGCATTGAGTGGGAGGAAAGTGCTAGAAGTTGAGAAGCGTCCACAATGTTTTTATTATTTTTTAAAATTCTTACCCCCCAAATAAAGCACTCTTTCTTTTCACATCTATTTAAAAATACTGCTTTTTTTCCCTTGTTGTTACCAGCTGGGTTTATTTTATTCCTAAAAGACAAGTCTTCATCTTCAGAGATGAGTGATGCAAATGTCTAAATACATCTCTTTTCTGTCTTTTTTTCAGCCAAGGAAGCAAGGATAAACGACTGACACATCCACGGCGGGTCCTAGACACGTGGCCGACTCCCTCACCAAAAAGCAATTAAAAAAAACAAAACAAACACATAGTATTGCACTTTGTACTTTAACTGTAAATTCACTTTGTAGAAATGAGATATTTAAACAGATGGCTTTAATCTGTGAAAATGGAAAGGCTGGCTTCAGAAAAGTAATCACATACAATGTATGTGTCCTTCTTTGACCTTCAAAATCTGTAGTTGGTGGAGATGTATTTTGAGTGGATTTAAGCTTAATTTCTTCCTCCTACGCATGTTAACCTGGCAGAAGCCTTGGCCTAAGGCGCTCTGGCTCCAGGCCTGTATCTCCTTACCAGGGCCGTTACTAATAGTCTCGCCAGGTTGGTGTCGTTGGAAATCGACTGCCCTGGCAGCATCGCTGAATCCATGTTGGAAGCTTCATGGCGCCATAGAAGTTTGTAATCAACGGCTGTCTTCGTCATGCAGTTAATGAGTGCATGGGTCTTTTTGTTTCTTGGGATTTCGTGTTAGTTTGTTGGTTTTCCTTCCAGAGTTCTCGCTCACGCAATGAGTTACCCAACCACTGAAGCACTCTTTACAGGTAGTGCCCTGGTAGAAAAGAACGTTTTTCAAACCCTTTTTGATGTGACTGCTTTTTCCATTGCAAGCTTCTGTTTGAGTTTTGCCTTGGGCTCAGATTATTCATGCAGCAAATGCTAGAGAATTCTTTCTGCCTTTCTGAGGCAGCGGGAAGGGGTCCATCGTTCAGAAAAGTAAATTTCATCATGACCTGACCAAGCCGGCTAAACACGCTTGTCAGCCTGCTTTTTCTCTTACACCTGGCCCCTACCCACCTGACCGTGGCCCACCCAGGGGCCCCCCAGAAGGTAAAACTGTCCCCTGAACAAATTATGAAGAGTCCCCTTAAAGAAGGTGCAGCCAGGCGAAGTTGTGCCTGGGTCTTGATCTCGGCAGCCGGAGACAAAGGCCTGTGGGTCCCCCACCTTCCCTTCTTTCCTGGAGGCCTCAAGGGCTCAAGGGTTTGCCGATAGGAAATTCATCCAAATGGGACTTGAGAGGGGAGAGTGAGGAGCTGAATGCCCCCCTGTGAGCAGCAGAGTGGGCCCTCGGGGCAGCCGGCTGCCCGTCTCAGAGCTGGACCCCGGCTTCCGCAAAGGTGCCCATGGGCTCCATGAAGCATTTAGGGTACAGGCCCGGAGCTGGGGTGACACGCTGTGACGCTGTCTCGGCTCTAGCTTTTGGTTTGGGAAAAAAATCTTCACGGCCCCAGACCCCCCACACATGTCAAACGATCTTGAATTTGCATGAAGACGTTTCAAGAGGCGTCTCATTTAAACCGTGCAAAAGTCAAAACGGAAACTTTGGAAACACAAACCCAGCTCCAGTGTGTATCACCATTGTTTAAGAAACAGTTAGGATCCTAAATTTATTGGATGATCTTTTATATTTCTGAACTTTGAATTTAATCCTTTTTCTTAGATTAAAATAAAATATGCTATCAAAACCGTACTTGGCCTCTGGCTTCATTCTGAGGGTGTTTACCATTGGGAAGCAAGGCAGGGGCCCTGGGCTGGAGTGAAAGGAACCCTGGTTCTGCCCCTCTGGCCATGGGACTTGGGACAAGTTACTTAGCCTTTGGGGGCTTCAGTCTTCTGCTCTATCAACGGGGACGACAGTGGCATGCACCCCTGGGTGAAGGTTACGTGTATCCATGTGTGTAAAGGGTGAGGGCCTGGCACAGAAGGTGCAAGTGTTTGCCCTCGTGATGGGAAGCAGCCGTCCACTCACTAGGTACCAAAGGCTGGGAGGACTTCCCATCCTGCCGGAAGCTGTGTGGACCAAGGAAGAGACAGAAAAGGTTCTTATTGTGGTTAAAGCTGATGCTGTTCACAAGTCACACTGCCAGAGACCCTGTCAGGCCACGTCTCTTGGTCCCCAGCCCCAGTCTCCAGACCCAGTGTCCGCCCTTGGTTAGACTCTCATTATATCTCACCTGGACCATTGCTTCTCTCAGTTTTGTCGAGATGTAATTGACATACGCCCCTGTGTCAGGGTAAGGTGCACGGCATAATGCTCTGACTTCCACATGCTGTGAAATGGTTGTCACAGTAAGTTTAGATAACATCCAGCACTTCACATACATACAAAAAAAAAGTTGTTTTTTTTCCCTGGTGATGAGAACTTTTAGGATCTACTTTCTCAGTGGTTTTCAAATACACCCAACAGCAGTGTTAACTATGGTCGGTCATGGTGTGGTCACAGCAACAGCTTCTTAGCTGGTCTTGTTTCCTCCAGGACTCTCTATTCCTTCCTGGTAAATCTCCCTGTGCCCCACACTATTTTTTTCTCTACTCAGAAAAATGTGATCTTTGTAAAACCTTAGCATTTCAATTGTGCAGTCAAGATGTTGCTGGAAAGGAATTAAGAGGGAGCGCTCCCGACGGGGCGGAGGTTGGACTGCTTCTGGGGCAGACGGGAGAGGGCACGGAGCCCGCGGAGGCAGCGGCCGGCGCGCCGGGGCCGGAGCAGTTGGCTCTGACTGCGAAGTGTTAAGATTTCAAAGCCCAGACAGAAATTGTTTCCCTTACGTACCTGGTGTAGCTGTTTTCAGGGATAGTTGCCTCCCCACAAACCTCCCCTTGCCTCCTTCTCATGTTTAAAAATGCTCTCCTGCATCCTTGTCAAAAATCTCCAAGTGGGAGATTATTTAGAAGTGCACTGACCAACTCGTAAATCATGCCCGTGAACGTCACATCCAGAATTTTTTTAAGTTATCGAGATGAAAGGTGTCAACTTTTGTAATCAACGTGCAGAGATGACCGACATAATCATAAACTGCCAAGTGGACACCGAATCGTGTAAACAACAGAGCTACTGCGGAGAGAAGGTAAGACTGTAGACAGCGCTCAGCTCAGTGGTCTGGGGTGGTGGTGATGGCGGTAGTTGAAATGGCGGTAATCATGACGATGACAATGATGGTGGTGGTGATGGTGGTGATGATGGTGACGGTGGTGGTGATGGGGGTGATGATGGTGGTGATGGTGATGGTGGTGGTGACGGTGATGGTGATGGTGATGGTGGTGATAATGATGGTGATGATGGTGGTGATGGTGGTGATGGTGGTGATGATTTTCTCCCTAATACCATATACTACTACATGGGCCAAAATTTGTAAAGATTTTTGACTAATTAGACATTTTTGATATTTCTTCATTCTAAAAAGCTTCATTCTTCATTTACTATAAAGCTGTGAACAAGCCACCCCAAAGCTCCATGGCCTAAAACCACCCTTGTTTATTCTTGTCCCCCTGTGTGTGTTGGCTGGGTTGTCTGGGCTTGGCTGGACGTGCCCCCCATGCCTCACACCTGGCCCTGGACGAGTGGGCCTTGGGGGCGGGTGATGCGCCCAACCGCATGAGCGCATTTCAGGCTTCAGCTTGTAACCTGTCTGCTCACATCTGTGGACCATCATGGGGCTCCGAGCAGGTCGTGGGCAGGGAAGCACACACCGCCCACCCGGCGGCCCTGGTAACTCGTGGATGTAGACGCTATTGAGTGTTGGAGATTGTGCCCAGCTGCCGTGAAGCACATCCTGAACCGGGGGCAGCGAAGCTCCACGCGTGGTGGTGCAGATGGAAGGAACGGGTGCACATCGGCATGCCGCCTCGGACGGAGAGGAAGCAGGAGTCATGCGGGGAAGCGGAGGGAACTGGGCCTCCCACCCATAGAAAGAGGTTTCCAGCCCTCCCTCTCAGGGCTGTGCAACCAGCATAGGTCATGCACGCAGCCCGCTGTATAGACAGGCACTCCACAGTGGCATTGTGGAGTCACACGTGTGTCAGAACAGTTCTGTATCACATGGTTCTGAATCTTCCTCTTCAAAGAGTCGAAGGACGGGCAAACTTGAATCCAAAACCCTGAAGCCTGCACCTCAGGATGAAGCCTGCAGGTCTCTCCCTAAAGGAGGAGACGCTACACATGGCAGGGATGGAAGTTTATTCAGACTCCTCTATCGTGGGGAATTGACTTCAGTTATGAGAAATAGAAAATAGGAAGCCACGTCATGGTGGCAAAAGAGCCATTTTTCTCACTCAGGAAGCAGACAGACAGAAGTCAGTCAGCTCAGGGTGGAGGCAGCCGGCATCCCGGGCCTTGGCCTCCCAGGCCCCTTGGGTTTGTTCTGCCGTCTTTAGAGGGGGGCCTTGTCCCAGGCACTGGCTGGAGGGGCAAGTGTCTTCATCAGGGACCGGACATGGTGGAGGGCCTCGGACCAAGACAGGAGGCCAGCGGAACATGGCACACGTTATGTTTTATTTGTCCTGAGCCGCACTTAGCAGGTGTCCGCTGAATTTCCTTGGCCACCGACATCTCTTCTTTGCATCTCCAGCTTCAGAGCTTTAACTGTACACTTGCTGCCCAGGACAGGGTGAGACAGAGGGCTGGCCGCCCAAGAAGCAGGAGGGGGCATTGCCATGAGCCACGCCCACTCTCTGACACTTAACAGTGCATTCAGGACACGTGGCGTTTACTCCGTCTTCTACATTTTATGTGAAATAAATGTCTTCTTTCTGCCTAGTTTCCCTGGGCATCTGAACGCTTGCTCTTTTCTGATAAAGCTGACCAGTTAACTCAATCCATGTGTGTTTCATAGCGGAAAGGTTTCATACACCTTGTTATTAATATTTTACCTTTAGAACAAACATTTGGTTTCTTTCAGTTAAAGCTGAAATTATGCTCAGTCAATAGATGGCTTCTTTGTTAATAAAAGGTGGATTTTTATACTCCTGACCAGCCTGCCTACGTGTTGCGTTTCCAGTCTTCTGTGGCTGCTGTAGTTCAGAGGAGAGGCGCCTTTTTACCGCTTCCTAAGATCTTGTAAGTGTGCCTGGGGGAACCACTTTGAATGTTTCAGTTTAAATTTACATATTCATGATGCCCTGAGCATTAGACCAGAGGGGCTAAGTTTTATTACTCAGACTATGTCAAACTCTTTGCTTTTCATCCAAGAAAACGGTCTTTCTAATTTGGTAAGCAATTTTATTAACTGAGCCCTG